ACGGAGTTTCACTCTTGTAACCCAGGCTGGAGTGCAGTGGCGCGATCTCGGCTCACCACAACCTCCGCCCCCTGGGTTCAGGCAATTCTCCTGCCTCAGCCTCCTGAGTAGCTGGGATTACAGGCACGCACCACCATGCTCAGCTAATGTTTTGTAGTTTTAGTAGAGACGGGGTTTCACCATGTTGACCAGGATGGTCTCTATCTCTTGACCTTGTGATCCACCCGCCTCGGCCTCCCAAAGTGCTGGGATTACAGGCGTGAGCCACCGCGCCCGGCCTCTATAGTTACTTTTTTGAGGAACCTGAAATTGCTCTCCATAGCGGATGTACTAAGTTAAGTCCCACCAACACTATATAAGGGTTCCCATTTCTCCACATCCTTACCCGCATTTGTTATTACCCGTCTTTTGCATAAAACCACTTTAACTGGTATAATATCTCATTGTAGTTTTGATTTGCATTTCTCTGATGATCCGTGATGCTGAGCACCTAAACATGCTGAGCATACTAAACATATACCTGTTTACCATTTGTGTGTCTTCTTTTCTTCTTTTCAGAAATGTCTTTTCAGATCTTTAACTTTAAAAAAAATCAAAATCAAATTATTAGATTTTTTCCTATAGAGTTGTATGAGCTCCTTATGTATTCTGTTTTGTTTGTTTTATTTCGTTTTGCTTTTGAGATGGAGTTTCACTCTGTCGCACAGGCTGGAAAGCAGTGGTGCAATCTTGGCTCACCGCAAACTCTGCCTCTCAGGTTCAAGCAATTCTCCTGCCTCAGCCTCAGCCTCAGCCTCCAGAGTAGCTGGGACTACCAGTGCACACGACCACAACCAGCTAATTTTTTTGTATTTTAGCAGATTGGGTTTCACTGTGTTGCCCAGGCTGGATGTGAACTCCTGAGCTCAGGCAATCCACCCGCCTTGGTTTCCCAAAATGCTGGGATTACAGGCATTAGACACCACACCCAGCCATGTATTCTAGTTATTAGTCCCTTGCCAGATGGGTACTTTGCAAATATTTGCTCCCATTCATGGGTTGTCTCTTCACTTTGTATATTGTTTTCTTTACTGTGCAGGAGGTTTATACCTTGACGCGATTCCATTTGTCCATTTTTTCTTTGGTGGCCATGCTTGTAGGGTATTACTAAAGAAGTCTTTGCCTAGTCCAATGTCCTGGAAGAACTTAGATTTAAGTCTTTAATCCATTTTGATTTGATATTTGTATATGGTGGAAGACAAGGATCTAGTTTTATTTGTCTGCATAGGGATTTCCAGTTTTCTCAGCATCATTTATTGGAGAGATTGTCTTTTTTCCAATGTATTTCCTTGGCACATTTGTTGAAAATGAGCTCATTATTGGTGTATGGATTTGTTTATGGATTCTCTATTCTGTTCCACTGGTCTATATGTCTGTTTTTATACTAGTACTATACTGTTTTGATTACTACAGCTCTGTAATACCATTAGAAATCAGGTAATGTGATTCTTCCAGTTTCTTTCTTTTGCTGGGGATAGCTTTGGCTATTTTGGGTCTTTAGCGATTCTATATACATTTTAGAATTTTTTTTTTCTATTTCTGTGAAGAATGTCATTAGTATTTTGAAGGAGATTGCTTTGAATTTGTAGATTCTTTGGGTAGTATGGACATTTGAACAATATTGATTCTTCCAAACCATGAACATGAAATCTCTTTATAGTTTTTAGTGTCCTCTTGAGCATTTTAAGATCAATGCTTTATAGTTTTCACAGTAGAGATCTTTCACTTCTTTGGTTAAGTTCCTAGGTATTTTACTTTATTTGTAGTGATTATAAATGGGATTGCTTTCTTGATTTCTTTTTCAGATTGTGATCACTCACCTAATATTTGGTTCTCCTGAAGCTGCTTTCTTGTATGGATAGTTGTTAAATTTGGTATTCCTGCAGGGAGGGCAATCAGTGCAGGCTTCTATTTAGCCATCCTGCTCTGCCTCAAGCTGGCTTCACAAATTTTTATTACCCCTCCATAATACTGTTTTGTCACCTTTAAAGATTATCCATGGATACTGTCTTACACACAATAATCACTCAATAAATTATTTATTGTTAGTATTATCATAGCTTATCATCATCATCACCTTACCAGGCACAACTTAAGTTCCCTTCATTAGTTCAATAAACATTTATTGATCACGTCCTATGTGATCAAAGAGGATTGAAAAGTGTGGTGCCTAAAATGAATGTACTTTATTACCCATCAACATAACTGCAAAACTATTCACAGAAATAAGAAATGTCCAGGCTATGTCAGATTGAAGATAAAAATGAAGACATAATCATAATAACAAAAGTACATTATTTGGCTTTGTATCTACCAATTATGAGAGTTAAGGACCCACTCAATTATTTTCTCACTAAATCTTAGGGTCCCTGTACAGTTTCTTAAGGCTCATAAAATAGTTTCCTCACCTAGCAAGAGACATACCTATATTATTTTGCTTCAGTTTCCCCCTTTGTTGTCTCCTTTTGCAACTATCTTCAATAAACCAAGAGAGAAAAACTTTTTATCGCTCTTTGGATGGCTCTATGCAACATGTTTCTTTAGGAGGTGGGGAGTTAGCAATGAATTTTTTAAATGCTGGCTCCATCCTTTAAGCCAGCTTGCCCTCTCTAGTTTGACAGACCCCACCATTACCAATTGTCTTATATCTGTCACTTCACATTTCACACAACTTTATGCTGCTTGCCAGGACCCTAAAAGGTTTTTTTGTGTGTGTTTTTTATACAAACACCCTTTCCCATAAATTCACTAATTTCAAAAGCTAGTAATACACCCTGAGGGCATCAAAACTGCTGTCAGACCAAGGAGGCCACACAGTGTGATGCTTTCTCCTGCCTCTTCTCCATTCTGGCTATCCTGGGCACAGAGGAAATGCTCCATCATAGAATTAGTGAGGAAATGTGCAGTCTGTTGCATTCATTCCATATTTCTGCATACTCAAACCATAGCTCCTTAAGGAAGAAATCTTTGATGTTATGTCTTGTGATTTAGGATACCAAACAAGGCAGTCTTGTAATTTCCACATATTAGGGAAATCTTAGTGAAATAGCTTTTTATTTTTATTTTGCCTTTATTGCTCCTCCTGCTCCCAGGAAAGTTGTATGAGAGCTGAGGAAAACAATAGGGGAGCATCTCATTGTTCTCAGAAGAGTGTGTGTGCACGTGCATAGCTGTGTTTTACCTCCTCCTCACTCCAGGTAGAAAAATACTGCATTCTCACAGAACTCTATCAGTCAGAAACACAATGAATTCAATTGCCAGCGACAGAAAATCCCTCAGAAAGTGGTTTACAGAAATAACGGATTTAGATGCAACAGGTAACAAGTTTGAGTACTGGCATTGCAGAGTAGGACAATGATTCAGTAGCCAGGCCCCTCCTGTCTTCCTGCTCTGCCATCTTTACTGTGTGGTTTCGATTTTATGGTCTTAAGATGGCAGCTGTACTCCAAGCATTATGTCTGCATGCCAGACAGAAAGAAGGAGAAAAGAGCAAAAGGCAAAAGGATGTGTGAATCAACTTTGTCCTTTTTAATAGCTTTCCTAGAAACCTCAACCAGTAACTGCCACTTGTATCTCAATGAACAAAATAGGGTCACATGTTAATATCTATTTTCAAGGAAGTCTAAGGAGGAATCTTTTTTAACCAGGCTCACTAGCCCACCAAATCAAATCAGTTTTTTGTCATCAGGGAAGAAAGACAGACTGGAAGTTAAATCGGTAATTAGCACTGTCTGCCAAGAATAGTGATTGAAGTAGTGAATAAGGTCATCAAAGACATTTGCCAAAGAATATTTGTAGGTACAATGTCTAAGAAGAACCTGTGTTTTAGGTTGCTGGCCCTCTACAAAAGCATAACAGGAAATTCCAGGACAGTTTCATAAGCAGTGACTTCCAAGGTCAAAGGTAAAAATCACAGATTTCAAGTACATCTGCATTTTAAAGTGAGATTTTGGACATTCTCTGTAGGTTTTTCATAGGGAGTAGCCATTAACTGGCCCTCTGCTGATAAGCTAAGCACATACCTCTAGCCTACTTAATGAGAGCAGAGGTGTTCCCCTCGCCTCAAGTCAGGTGAAGGGGTCTGCATGAGAACCACACGGAACACTTGACTTGTGTTCTTTGGAGGTCAAAAGACACAGGGACTGGTATTTGATTCTGCCTTGGAAAAGACTCAACATGGGAACTTACGTTTAGTCCTGCCCTGATGGCAGAGCAAAGGAGGTGGCTGTACTCAGAGAGAGATGCACTTCCCCAAAAATCTAGGAAGAAGGGTGTATTTTTCAAGGAACTTTGTATAAGAACACCTTCCATGCAAGTACTAACCAGGCCCAAACCTGCTTAGTTTCTGAGATGAGATGAGATTGGTCGTGTTCAGGGTGGTATGGCCATAAACTAGGTACAATATCTCAAAGAAGAGGAACACTCTGGGTTTGTCTGAAAATGGATTGCAACGAAAAAGACTAAAGATCCATCCTAAACTGTCACCTTTTGTTTTCTCTACAGCAGGTGAGTCATAAAGAGTAGGATGACCTTGCATCTTGGTTGGTCTGGGGCAGTCCCATGTGACCTCTGCTATTCCTGCAATATTATTAATAGCTCCTCCTTCCACTCTCCAAAGTGTCCCAGTTTGAATGATAAATTACATGGTCACTTGATAATCAGGGACTCTTACTGATGCATGGAACTGGATTACCAGCCTGCAGTTTTTCAAGATTCTAATCTATGAAGGCACTAAAACATCACTGGAAAGGTGCTACCAACACTGTTTTTGAGAGACAGTATATATGTAGTTAACAGGATTACTTCAAGGTATTGATTAGGATATAGAAGGGTTATAGGGTATAACAGCAGATAATTGCTAAATTACTTTCTCAGGAAGATAATTCCAGGTAACTGAGGAGTTTTATCCTACAAGCAGGTTAGCAGGTTTGAACAAATCAGGAAATAGAAAAAAATGTGTGAGGTATTACAAGCGGTCTTCTGAGTCTATTCTCCCAACATAGAATTCAGTGCTAAATAAACATTGAAGAAATACGTTAAGAATATATCACCTAAAGAGGTGTCCAATAATGTGCCTGCTGTGGATTCTCACATCTTACTCACCTTCTCAGTGCATCATAATTTTAGCAATTACAAATTATCATGTGTTTTATTTCTCTACAACATTGTTTTCAGGTTAATGAGGATCTGAATATACCCACAGAGGAGTTTCCTATATGTAAAATAACAGTTACATGACAGTAGGACTAAATATCAGATAACAAATGATCTTTTGGGATTCAGAGCCTATTGCTATCACGTTTGCTCTCCTTCCCAGAATGCGAAGAGGGAAAAGAGAGAAGGAAGAGAAAAAAGAGCCAAATACAGTCCATATACCATAGGAATTAAAAATATCCTGACGATAGAGCATGTTGGACAAATGATAAAATAGTAGTTTCTTCAAAGCTACTATATACACATCAGTGATCAAAAGTTTGATTAGGACAGTGTTATATTAGGCGCTGCTCAAAATTCCTTCAAAATGGTGATAATTTGTTAATGACCTTTTGGATACAGGCATTTGCAAAGCTTCTAATTTACTTACCTTAAGCCCAGTGCATATTTCTCCTTGTCCAGAGAACAGCATGAAAGAGCTTGTTATGTGCCTTGCTGAAATCCAGCTACATTAGATCTATTTTATTTCCCTAATACACCCATCTAATAATAATACTATCAAAGAAATAAATGGTGCTGGTCTGGCATGATTTGTTCTTTGTGAACCCAATACTGCTTAAATCCTTAATCATTACTGCTACCACTTCTAGACACCTACAAAGTATACACTGCAGTATCTTGCTAGGGTCTACGATAGCCTTCTCAGGATTTATGAAATTCACCTTCCTTTTCTTTTAAGGAATCAAAATAGCAGTTGCTCATCTAGACTTGTGGCACTTCTCTGATTTGCCATGATTCTGCAAATATCACACATTTCAATAAAAGTTGCCAGATAATTAACATTTACTAGGTGTCAATCAGTGTAATAAGAGCTTTTGTGTTCATTATCTAATATATGTAAAGGAGATTAATGGGCCAGCCTAGCTGTAAGATCTGTGAATATAAATGCTAATTTTTAACATTTTTAAATGAACATGATAGAATTTATTGTCTATTTTCAAAACTATCTCGAGGCCTATTTATAAAACTCAGGTGTCCCCAGGTTCTCCTGCCTGCCAAGTTGCACTTCATCTATAATTTCCTAAACATCATCATTCAATTTCCTGTTTTTCTGCCCTCAGGAAGTTCAGTGCCTTGCTCAAGTGCTTCTGAGGATCTGAAGGAGAGTATACTTCGTCCTGTTGTCATTTGTTACTACCAAGAACAGCTTTCCTAGGCTTTTTCAAGATGCTCCTCCACACCCACTGAGCTTTGTCCTCACTTCTATTCTCCGTGGTTTGAGCAACTGCTCTCTGTATTTCTCCAACAGAGCTGACACTAGGCCATCAGAAGCAAAAACTGGAGTTGGTGCTTGAAGAGCGCACAAGGCAGAAATCTCGGTTCTACCTGACCACTCCAATAGTTCCACCTCACTGTGACCGGTGTAGAAAAGCATGAGGAAAAGAGAGGGAGCTAACTTCCAAATTTCTTTATTGTGTCTCCCAGGCCTGGGCGTGGGGATAATCAAACCCTGTCATTTGGGAAACCACAGCCACAAAGTTTCTCTATGTCCTCCAATTTGTTTTTTTACACACTGGCACTCTCTTTCAGGAAGAAAGCTGGAACAAGATGAGATAGGACAGATATGACCAACAATAAGGGCAGTGTAAGATATAAGTGTGGGCTGCATGTAGATACACAATTGAGTTGTATATTCATTTCATAGATGCTGCCATTTTTAAACATTGTAGTGTTTCCTTTTGGAATTTTTTTGTTTGTTTATTTAGAAACTAGATATATTCAATGGAGCCAACTTTTGACAGTTTTGTAGTGATTTCAATTTCTAAAAACTAGCAAAAGGTATTCAGAAATAAATCTGGCAAGGTGAAAAATTTCCTTCTGGGTCAAAAAACACGTGGTGATATTGTAACAATGCTGATGATTTCTTTAACTGAAGAAAGAGCTGTTAAGGATATTCTCAAAGAGAGCTTTACAAAGATGTTTGAGCATCTGCAGTCTGAGTATTATGAGGCATAACACTCACCGAAGAAATACGGTAGTGTGACAAAGAACATAGTCTTTGTGGGTTAGCTCTGGGGCGAAAGCCACACTCTTCTCCTCACTCTGTCAATTTGGAAATGATTTGGGGCCATTTTTCATTTCACAGTCTTTAGATGTAATAAATGAATAATACCTGCCTGTAAAGGGTTGCTTTGAGGGTTGCTGTGAGATGGGAGGCCCATAGTTGGTGCTCTGCTACCCACTTCTGGTTTCCCTTTTTCAATGAGCAAAACCTAAGATATTCGAAAGCCTTTTCTGGCTTCCAATCTCAATGCGAGTATTTTACAACATGTGAAAAAAATGATCCCCTCCCTATTAAAATACTACTGCAGCCCTTAATTTGCTGCCTCCAAGATTCAATGTACACAGGACCTGAGAACTTCTTTCTGAGTGCTCAAGAGGCAAAGATATTTCATAGATAAGATATAATTTTATGAAATCCAAACATTCATCAATGGTGACTCTATCTGTTGAGACAGTCTTCCTTGCCCACCATCCAATAAAATGGACAACTGTTTACTGCTTTGCAGTCTTGATCGCTGGAGAGTCAGGTTTAGGTGGCATAATGACAGAATCCCGAGCAAATCATAAAAATAGTTATTGAGCCGGAAGTTTCTTTCATAGGGTATATTTTCACACACACATAGAGACACACACACACACACACACACACACACACTATACAGAGAAAGGGAAAGTGAAGGCTGGGGGAGATACCTGTTTTGGAAATCCTACTTTAGGACAATGGAAATATTAATTAATAGATAACAGAAGCACAGTTTTCCATGTAATGGCTTTTAGGAAATTTTGTCAGCAACTAGTTATATTTTTTTATTAAAAGTAATTTAGGCTGGGCGTGGTGGCTCATGCCTGTAATCCCAGCACTTTGGGAGGCCGAGGTGGGCAGATCACTTGAGGTCAGGAGTTCGAGACCAGCCTGGCCAACATGGTGAAACCCCGTCTTTAAAAAATAAATTATTGAAAAAAAAGCTAATTTCAATAACAATAGCAATATTCATGGAGCAACTAAGCATTGTACTAAATGTTATAACCACATCATCATATTTGCTTCAGCTTAGTATAAAAGTCAGTATCCACTAGTTGCAGAGTTAAGAATGAATTTGTATGGATATAAATATTAATTATATAGTTGTATCTGTCTGCAAGTGAAAGAGGTGAAGTTCATAAGGGTGTACAGGCAGTTTGGATTTCTTGGCACATCATCTGGAGTTGAGAGATGGACCAGGCTAGCGAGGTGGAGACTATTCTTAGATGCTAGGAGAGGAACAGAGGTCATGAGGGCAAGGAGACAGCCCACTATTCTAAAGCAAATCATTTATTGTTGGATTGCTGGTGACTGCTGGTAATTCTACAAAAGAGATGAGTCCTGCAGCAAGGGCAGCCATGTTTCACCAGCAGGCAAAGTTATGGGGTCAGTCTGAATTCCATAAAGCTTCTGAGGTTTGTGAAAGGCACTATATGGGCCTCGATAAACAACAATGATCAGGTTAACCTCTTGCTTCTGAGATGCCTGTAATTTCCATTTGCAGCAGGACCTGATTTTGCACGTGGCTAACAGCATCCCCCACTGATCCTGTCCTTTGCAAAGCAAATGCATTGTGACAAAATGACAGAAGATAATCTCAAAATCTAAGTCTACTTGATGAGTATGGATGTTGGATTTCAGTATGAAGATGTTTTACATTACTGCCATCCTCTTTCAGCCAAACAAAGAGAAAGCACTCCTCGGCAGAGCTTTTATTTTGTTTAAAGTCCCTCTGATGGGCTCCTGCTCTCGGTAGTTATATAACAAAGTGGTGGCATAATATATGGGGGCAGTGGGGCGGGAGTTGAACATACCTGTATTTGCAGCCATAATGAGAGCTTGGAGGTAACAAGGGGGATAATTTGGATAATAATTAATAACCTGAGTTCCAGGCACAACTGGAGCTGCATGCAAATTCTATGACCCTGCAGTGGCACCTCTTGAAGAAGAAGGTGCTTTATTGCCTCTGTCAGGCATTCCCTTCTCAGCTGTGACTCCTCACAGCAGCCTTGTTGGTTTGCATACTGCAGCTAAACATTAGGCGGTAATGAATGACAACTCAGCCACTCTGCGCACTGCAGCGAGAAGCTGCCATAATTGGCTCCCCCATCACCACCACCATCCTCTCCCCCTTTGCAAAGGACAGGAGGTATAGATAAGCAAGCACTTTGACAAAATGTAAAGGGCAGGAGGACCCACGATAGTAGTCTTAAGGGCACAGAGTTAGTTGTTCCAACCCCATATTTACACCCTTCCCGGAGATACAGAGACCACTAGCTTAGTATATGAAATATGTAGCTCTCCCTTTCACACCCTGGAAAGTGCTTGACTCTGAGGAGAGAACCTAAGTGCTAGAATTCAATCTATTTGTGCCTGCTTTCTGGGCCTCTATCCCATACTGTGTCTGGGTTGATTGTGGATTATGGAATGAGAAGATATACAAGAAAAACTGAAGGAAAAGAAGTGAACACATCCTAATTTGAGTTTTGTTTTCTACGCTTTTTGTTGCTGTTGTTGTCATTTTTAACGTCAGACTGGGTCCAGACCTTAAACAGAAGCTGCCACTAAATATATGATCCTTAAAGGATGGATAACAATTTTCAGTTGCAAATGGCAAAAATTTCAGCCATAATGACTGAAAGTGAAACAAAATAGGTTAAGAATACCTCTAAAGGTTAAAGCCATAAAAATACAAAGGTCTGTTCTACAAAGTGCCTGTCTTCCAGTTTATACTCCAGTTTTAAAACTTATTTTATGTTGTCACACAACGAAAGACATACTTTCTGTTTTTTTGAATTCCCCAATAAGGCAAAATCTTCCTTTATGGCCTAAACAACTGCATTTAATTGCAAATTAAATGCTCTATTTCTTACTAGTACACAGACTTAGTGACTAGAATAACGAAAGGGCCAGGAATAAGCTTGATAATGAATATCAAGCCTAGTAGAGTAATGTTGAATACAAACTAAAGCCTTAGAAAGCAAGTACTTGGTGCTTACAGGTATAACATAGTCATTACACTCTGGAAAAAAAAATCCTGGTTTTTTAATTACAGTACTAGAAATTTAGCTGAGATTATAATTTGGTATTCCCTTGCTCCATATAGCTATTTGAATAACATGTAGAATGATTTTTTTTAACCTGGTAATTCATTAATATAATTAATGATTTGAAAAAATAAACTAATATGAAGAAATAACTGTACCAAATGTACTGAACTTTACTGAATGTGACCTATATAGCCCAGACAGCAAGAGCATACCCTTGAGCGTTAATACCTGAATATCTCTCAAATAAGGAAGGATAAAAGATTGTGATGATGGAGATTAACAAGATAACCTTACTTTAAACAGAGTAGTCACAAAAGATTGCACAGCCAGAATGTGATAAACAGGGGAAGAGGTTATGTCATAGGATTGGGAGAAGGAGTCAAGGGTGAGATGATTTAGGTTGTTGTGGTAGAGACTGGCAGTAGCCTATTCAAAGTTCATTTTCTTCTTCTCCCTTATAAGAGAAGTCTGATATTTCTGGATGTTGGATGATAATAAAATATTGTTTTTCTTAGTCTCCTTTGAATACAGATGTGAATATATAATTAGGTTCCGCTCAAGGAGACGTAAGCAGAACTTTCTGGCTAAGAACTCCTAGAAAAGTTTCTGCAAAGGAGGATAAAGAACTGAAGTTACTTTTGTTGTACCTTTTCATTTCTTTTATTCCCATGGAAAATAAGTGTAACAGCGGGGGTACATCAGCCCATCTTATGATCATAGGGCAACATTGACGATTGAAGCCAAGGCTAAGAATGGCAGAACAGAACAATAGAAGGAGCCAGAGTTCCTCATGACTTTGTGGAGCCAAAAACCAATACTGGATAAAGCCTTTTAGAGTTCTTTTATATGAGAAGAAAAAACACTTGATTTATTTAAACACCATGGTCAAATCTCTGTTTTAGGAGCTAAATACATTTTCTTGCAGATACAGACACCAAAAACACAAGGCTTTTATTTTATTCCCACTGTGATGGGAAGTCATGGAGAGATTTTTAAGCACATGAGTGGCATGACCTAATTTACATGCTTAAAAAGAAAATTGGCTGCTATGTGAAGAACAAATTGAAGGGAAAAAAAGGGAGAAGGAAAGAGATCAGTTAGAAATGTATTGCCTTAGTTCAAATGGGAAATGAATATATTATAGCTTGGAGTTGGATGGTGCCAATAGAAATGGAGAAAAAAGCCAGATTTGAAACATTTTGGAAGTTGAAGCTATGAGACATGTGAAACCCATGGGTGTTGTGAAATGAGAAAGAAGAAGGTATCCACAATAAATCTTAGGTTTCTGACTTGTTATTTAAAACTATAGGAATAAAAAAATTGTCTTAGGTGAGAATATAAAAAAAAGAAAAGGAAAGAGAAGAGGAATCAGGACTAGGCTATGCAAAACTCCAACATTTAGAGGAAAAGTAGAAGAGAATGAGCCAGCAATGGAAACTGAGATGGAGATGTCTGGAAGGTAAAAGGAAAAAGAGGAGTGTGGAGTTACAGAACTCAAAAGGGAAGCATGTTCCAAAAAGGAGAGAATGCTTACTGGTGCCAAGTGCTATTGAGGGTTTAGGTAAGATGAGACTCAAGAAAGCATTAATCAAGCATGGGAACATGTCTACCAATAGGATGTCAACAAGACAGATGAATAAAGCCACACTGAGTGGGTTGAAGAGTGAAAAGATGAGGGTCTTCTGAAAATAACAAAGAAAAAAAGTATATTTTGACCAACCCTCCTACTAAAAACAACTAGAAAATTTGGTGCACGCACACACACACACACGCACGCACACACATTAATGTACTTGAAGTCATCATAGACATGTCAAAGATAAAGCAGGATATCAGTTAAAGCAGTAAGAACAGATTTTAATTACCAATATATTATTGTAATAAGGAAAAGAGTCCAGCATGAACTGAACTTAAATTCAATTTGTACAGATAAACAAGCTTTTTATAGGCAGAATTAGGAAATAGGGAGGGGGTGAACAAAAGCTCAGTGTAATCAAGGAAGTAAAAAGTTACAAAAAGGGAAAAGAACAGTTGATGAATGTAAAACCCATGGGTGTTTGCTAACTGATGCTTACTAAAGTTAGGCCCCTACTTATCCACCAAGGCTTGGAGACATGGACTCTGTCTTCAGGAGTCACCTGGATGGAACAAAAGTAAATTCTTTTAGCAGCCTTGGGTCTTCCCAGGCAAACGCTTTGAAGGCATTAGATTCATCATGGGACATGGCCTTGAGTTGTTATAAACTATGTTAGTGTTTCCTTCAAGCCTTTAAAGGCCAAGGTTGACACCTAGTTGACAAGAAGCACAGAGGAGGCTGGCTAAAGCTTTATCAAGGAGAGGATCTTTATCAGATATTGCAAGGCATCAACTATGTAGGGGACCAACATCCACAAAAAGGCAAGCCAAAAAGTTGAGGACAGAATTTAAGGACTCCCATTCCCAGAAGAGGTAGCCAAGAAAAGATACGAAGACAAAAATGGAGTCCAGGAACTACCGAGAAAGAGTGCCCTGTGAAAACCCCTCCCTTAGGCTGGAAAACCAAAGGGCTACACAGTAGAAATAACAGTGGCTCAGAGTTCAACAGAAGTTAGCACAAATGCCAAATGAACTTAAACCCTAGTATCTGTGATCGCTTTTGTCTCTATCTGTGAGGCACAAACTAAACCCTGTAAAAAGACCATCACTCTACTCTCAAATTGTTTCTATAAATTTTACAAATAATGCCAGCTTGGCACTCAAACAATAGTCAATCCTATCTGATGGAAAACTAAATGAAGTAATAAATAACTGCATATTTTAAGGAAAGAAACACCACCATAAACTGAAAAGAACATTTTAAAATAATGAAAAGGTAAATTCACCAGGAAGATATAAGAATTCTAAATATGTATGCAACTAATACAGTAGTCCAAAATATATACCACATTTTGAATTATTGACAAAATTGAAGGAGGAATATAAAATTTCCAACCATTATGCATGATTTTCTCAAAAACTGGTAAGATTTTTCTCAACAACTGATATGACAAGCACACAAAAAATCAGGATACATACATAAAATTTGAACAATCTGGTTAATAAACTTTATTTAATTGATATATACAGAACACTGGATAATACCACAGAATACACATTTTTTCAACTGAAAAAAAGTAAGCAATTTACCAAACCTGACTATAAAGTAAATATCAACAAATCTCAAACTATTGAGACTGTGTGGAAATTTTTTGTTTTGTCACACTTAAAACTAGAAATCAATAATGAAAAGAAAACTAGAAAATCCTTATATTCCAATTTTTTGGTAAATTAACTAGCATACTTTAAGTTACCATATAAGTAAAACAAAAATCTCAATAGAAATTGGAAATTATGTTAAGCTGAATAATTATAAGATATGGCATATAAAAATCTGTAAGATATAGCTAAGGCTATGCTTAGAGGAAAAGGCATAGCCTTAAATATATATATTAGACAAGAAAAAAGGCTTAAAATCAAGAAATAGTAACATATATCAAAAGTCAGGATAATGTAGCAGTTAAGCTCAAAGTGTAAGGAAGAAAATAATGAATATAAAACAGAAATTAATGAATCAGAAAACAAATATACAGCATAGCATCAAGAAAGCCAGAAGTTTAGACTTCTCAAAGGTTAATAAAATGACCACCCCTGACAAGACTGATCAAGAGAAAAATTAGGGATGGAAAAATAAGCATTGCGAGGAGTTAAAAAGCAGACATCATTAGAGATGTTACAGGCGTTAAAAGTAAGAGAATAGTACAAACAACTTTGTCAGTCACTTTGAAAGTTCAAGTGAAATGCATAAATGCTTTCATGCTACCTACTAAAAGATAATAAAAAAATTTTAAAAACTTAGTGGTTCTATCTTTACCTATTAAAGGCTACAAACCTGCAAATTCAAACCTTCCAACAAAGAAATAGGCCCCAACAGCTTTATTAATGAATTCTATCAACCAATAGAGGAAAAATGAAGCCAATATTTGTATAAACTTGTCCAGCACTGGAAAATGAGTTCCCAATTCATTTTATTCACATATAACCATGATTTTTTAATGACAAAGTAGTTATAAAAAGGAAAAACTGTAGGCCAATATTTCTTATGAAATCATTTTTTAAAAATACTAATAAATGATTTCTTTGGTTTCTGAGGATTTTATTCCTTACTTTCTTTCCTTGACAGTCCTAGTTGTATCTCCTGCCCTGGGGTTCATTGAGATATTCTAACTCCTTTATTAAATAAACTTCCCTTCTTAAGCCAAAATAAATAAAAGAAAATCAAAAGAATTTCTAGTTAGAAAAGACTAACTGCATGCATTTATTTGTTCTCTTTCATGAAGTACTTTTAAATGACAGCATAGATATTTTAAATGAAATGGACACATGAAGACAAAGAAAATGGAAGAGGAAACATCCATGGACAAGTGATTGCAAACATATTAGGAAGAAATAAAGTTAATTGAGGACTGGTAACTGAGTTAAAGAAGCAGCTGCAAAGCCGCGAGAAGTTATCCTATTTGTTACACCAACCCCTGAAAACCTAAACTCTTCAAAGCTTCAGATACTAAAAAAAGTGGAACTAAGAAACTGGGAAATGATTGAAAGTCGGTATACAGAGTGGTCATCACAAATACAGCAGCAGACTTGAAGGTTATTTGCTGGAAGAACTGAATGGGAGAAACTCCTGAAAGAGGAGAACCAAGCATAGTAGACAGTGGAGGTAAGTGTGGAACAAAGGGTAAGTGCATTAATAAAAATTCCACGTTGTAAACACTAAATCCCCTAGGCTATTTATGTTTCCCTAGCTCCAGAACACCTGCAACTCACCATATACCTTTCCAGGTTTCATAGAGAGTACTTCAGTTGCTACTGATATAGAATTTTGTCAAATGCATGTGTGCAGAATGCCTCATCAGTTTTCTAATACCATAATCTTACTTTCATACAGACATGTCATCATGGATTGTAAGATAATAAAAAAAAATTGGCAATAAGAAATACAGAAGTCAAAACAAACAAAAAAAGAATGTGGAAGAAAAAAGAATGCAGGGCGTATTAGTTTTCTACTGCTATATAACAAATTACCACAAACTTAGCAGCTTAAATAGCACTCATTTCAATCAAGTAGAAGAAAAAATTAGCAAACTCAAAGACAGATAATTTGAAAGTATGTAATCAGAGTAACAAAATGAAAAAGTGCAAAAGGCTATCAAGCAAAATAATATACAGGGGTGTGTGTGTGTGTGTGTGTGTGTGTGTGTGTGTGTGTGTACATATATAAAACATGGGAGCCCCGGGAGGAGCAGACAAAGAGAAAATAGCAGAAAATATATTTAAAGAAATAGTGATAGAAAACTTTCTAAATCTGGAGAGATAAGTGGCATCTGGATCACTAGGCACAAAGAACCTAAGATAGATTAAGTGTAAATAATTCTTTAAATTAAATGAGACACATTAGAATTGAATTCTCAAAAATCAAAGAGAATTTTGAAAGCAGCAAGAAAAAAATGATTCACCACATATAGACCCTCCACGTAATTAGATTAAACAAGCTCTCTATTTTCAACTCTATTAACATTTCTTCAGTAGTACCCACAAAGGGTATCTCAGAGCCAGAGAAAATCTTTACCTCTTGCCTACCTTACAGTGTCCATCAGTTTACTACTCTAAAAACTAACCTTTAGCGTTAAGAAGCATGCTTTCTATGCAAATCCAGCTCTAAGCCAAGTCTCTTTAGTACTCTCCTACCCCATTTCACCTTATCTCAACCATCCCACCTAACTAGAAATTCTTGATCTTCCTTTATACTACCAAAATTCAAAACACCAGGAAGGGGATCTGGCACGATATCTATCATGATATTGATTAGCAGGTTTAACTTCATTCTGTAGTATATTTAGAAGATGTTTCTTCCCTTATCAAATTTCTCATCTTGATATTTCTCAAAGATAGAGGATGAGGGGCCTTTGGTCAGGGATTCATATATGTCAAAGATACAATCACAACAAACTCCAACTGGCCTACATCTCAGTAAAGAAAAATTAAAGCATCAGTAAGATTTAAATAGTCGTCAGAGATATGAGAGGACATTTCAGCAATAAGATGCAGGTCTTTTGTTCACTATCTGAAAATTGTTATATGTATATGTTTATGTATATATGTATATATGTGTGTGTGTGTGTGTGTGTGTGTGTGTGTGTGTGTGTGTATAAATTGTGTAGTTTTATAGATGTTTATGGTGGAAGGAAGTATTCAATAGGAATTAACTCTTTTGTTGGTGAAAGCGGAGGTTAAGTAGGTTTTTTCATAGTGGAAATGAAAAGGATGAGCAACTCAGGGAAAGAGAAAATTGTAACCAAAGGCAGTAAGGGGAAAAAAGTCTTTGTTGAAAGAATAATGTACTGTTTGGGTCACCGGAGAGAACTAGTTGCAGAGGGGAAAGAATTGGAGATACATATATAGTTAGCGCTCATTCAGGGCAGCTAGGTCTCTCTGGTAATGGTGAGAATCATACATTCTGAGTTCTAGGCATTCTTCTTTCATACTCATATAATAGACATGAAATTACCAGTAAGAATTTTGGGAAGAAATCATAGAGTTCTTTATACAGGTAACACTTCTGCAGATCTAGTGATAAGAAGAAATATTACATGTTCTTTCTAAGTAGAAAGAACGCAACCAAACATCAGGAGAAAAGAACAAAAAGGGAAAGTAAAATACTCATTGAATGCTGTGTAGATAATAAATGGAAATCATAGGATACAATTTAAAACTGACAAATGGTAAAGGGTTTAGAAAGAATAAAGGGAATTAAGGGCACTATAAACAGTATTAATACAAAGATAACCACTTGTGATCGGCAGAATAATATCCCCCCAAAGATATTTCTGTCCTAATCCTCCCACTCTGTGAATATGTTAGCTAAATGGCAAAGGGAAATTAAAATTGCAGATGGAATTAAGGCTGCTAATCAGTTGATCTGAAAATAAAGAGATTATCCTGAATTATTTGGGTGGGCCTAATATAAACATGAGATTTTTAAAAAGTGGAATAGAAAATCAGAAGAGAGAATCAGGGACATGATAGCACGAGAAAGAGGTAGCCCAGCATTGCTGGTTTTGAAGATGGCTGAAAAGGCTGTGAGACAAGAACAGGCAATCTCTAGAAGCTGCAAAAGGCAAAGAATGGATTCTCCCCTGGGTTCGCCAGAAAGAAACATAGACCAGCTGACATCTTAATTTTAGCCCATTTCCGACATCTGACCCATAGAACTAAATTTGTGCTGTTTCATGCCAGTAAGTTTGCAGTAATTTGTTACAGCAGTAATGAAAAACTAATATACCACTAAAATAAAATAAGAACCTTCCTATATACCAAAACATGCTTTAAAAAGAAAAACAAAAGAGCCCAAATAAAAAAAGTAAACATAATGATATACACAGTTATTACAATGCAAGATAATATGACAGAATTGAGACAAAACATGTCATTTTAACAAATATGAACAGTTTTAACTGGCCTGTTAAGAGAAACAGATTTTTAAATTGGCTCATAAGGTAAAACCCAACTACGTAAGACATAGGTAAAACATGATAATTCATAGTTTAAATATAAAAGGATAAACAATGATTTAGCAAAGAAACAGAAACAATAAGAAAGTAAGATGTTATAATTCTAATACCAAAGCAGACTTCAAATCAGAAAGACTTAAATAACAAAGAGATGTTAAATACTGGTATGAACTAAAGATTTCTAAAATTTGTATATATGTATGAGCATATGTTGATGTGCACCTGTGTATGTGTGTGTCTACATATATGTGCATATATACATGTATCCCTTACGGATGTTGTTCACTGTTAACTTTGATTACCCAGTCATGATGTTTTCCTAATAAATACACACACACAGAGAGAGAACTATAGATATATTTGTTTAAGTATACATGCAGCTGAACCTCTCCACTGAAATTATTTCTTGCTAAAGTTAATAACTCCTTACTAATTGGCAAGTCCAAAGGCCACTTAATAGTTCTTATCTTAGGTGCTTTCTTTTTGCCATTTGATGCTCTTGAGCACCTTTTTTCCATAAACTACTTACCCAATTTACTTATGTGTTAGCATATTCTCCCGAGTCTCATTCTTCAAGGTTTTTTTTCCCCCAGATTCTTTTATTCGCTTACCTTCAAACAATGGTGCTTTCTAGGGTTTCACTCTTAATCTTTTCTTGCTCAATAAACTTTCGGGGCAAAATTTTTCAGTTCAACGACCAACAACTTCTACCATCCCTATGCTGATAATTTCAAATTATGCCTTTACTTTCAAGTTTTTTTTAATTATTTTTTATTTTATACCTGAGTTCAAGACTCATTTATCTACCTACCTTCTAAATACAAAAGGCATTCAAATTATACTTGTCCAGAATTGACCTCATTTTTTAAAATTCCCAAAGGTGTTATTTCTTTTATATTCCCTCTTCTCTTATAAAACTACATAAATCAAACTACCCAAACCAAATCAGCAGATTATTTTAGACTTCTCACTCTCCCTGCATACCCAAGTGGTCATTAAATCCTATTGACTCTATTCCTTAATAGGTATTATATCATTTACTTCTTTTTCTTCTCTGATTTAATTCAAAGTTTGAATACAAAATGGAGCTTATATTCCACCTCAGGTTTAGGAAGTGGGAAATATAATATAATAAGGTCAGTATGGGAGGATGCTGACTTTTAAGGCAAATGAGAAATAATCGACAGGATATACTCATCAGAGACTTGGATTCCTGAGCTCAAATATCAAAGACGAGAACAAGCTAGAAATGAAAGTACAGATTTTGGAGCCCTTAGAATGCAAATGGTAATTAAATTCATGAGAGCGTGGGCAGCCAGCAGCGGGCCAAAGTTAGAAGCCTCGTGGCCTTTCATTCCTTACAGGAAGAAAGCTTGGCTGCTATATTAGTCCATTTGTATGCTGCTGATAAAGACATACCTGAGACTTGGCAATTTACAAAAGAAAGAGGTTTATTAGATTTACAGTTCCAAGTGTCTATCAAGGCCTCACAATCATGGTGGAAAGCGAAAGGCACATCTCACATGGTGGCGGCAAGAGAGAATAAGAGCCAAGAGAAACAGGTTTCCCTTTACCAAACCATCAGATCTTGTGAGGCTCATTTACTATCACTAGAACAGCACAGGAAAGACCCACCCTCATAATTCAATTACCTCCAACTGGGTTCTTCCACAACATTTGGGAATTGTGGGAGATCCAATTCAAGATGAGATTTGGCTGGGGACACAGCCAAACCATATCATTCTGCCCCTGGCCCTTCTCAAATCTCATGTCCTCACATTTCAAAACCAATCATGCCTTTCCAACAGTCCCCTAAAGTTTTAACTCATTTCAGCATCAACTTAAAAATCCACAGTCCAACATCTCATCTGAGACAAGGCAAGTATCTTCTGCCTATAAGCATGTAAAATAAAAAGCAAGTTAGTTACTTCCTAGACACAATAGGGGTACAGGCATTGGGTAAATACAGTCATTCCAAATGGGAGAAATTGGCAAAAACAAAGGGGCTACAGGGCCCATGCAAATCCAAAATCCAGTGAGGCACTCAAATTTTAAAGCTCCAAAATCTCCTTTGACTCCATGTCTGACATAAATGGTGATGCAAGAGATGGGTTCCCATGGTCTTGGGCAGCTCTGCCTCTGTGGCTCTGCAGAGTACAGCCTTCATCCCAGCCGCTTTCATGGGCTGGCGTAGAGTGTCTGCAGTTTTTCGAGGTGCACAATGCAAGCTGTTAGTGTATCTACCATTCTGGGGTTTGGAGGACAGTGGATCTCTTCTCACAGCTCCATTAGGCAGTTCCCCAGTAGAGACTCTGTTTGGGGGCTCTGACCCCACATTTCTCTTCTATACTGCCCTAGCAGAGGTTCTCCATGAGGGCCCCACCCCTGCAGCAAATGTCTGCCTGGGCATCCAGACATTTTCATACATCTGAAATCTAGGCAAAGGCTCCCATCCCCAATTATTGACTTCTGTGTACTCGCAAGCTCAACACCACATGGAAGCAGCCAAGACTTGGGGCTTGCACCCTCTGAAGCCATGGCCCGAGCTCTACTTTGGCCCCTTTCAACCACAGCTGGAGCAGCTGGAACACAGGGTACCAAGTCCGCAGACTGCACACAGCACAGGGACCCTTGGCTTAGCCCACAAAACTATTTTCTCCTAGGTCTCTGGGCCTGTGATGGGAGGGAGTGCCATGAAGAACTCTGACATGCCATGGAGACATTATCCCCATTGTCTTTGGGATTAACATTCAGGTCCTCGTCACTTATGTAAATTTCTGCAGCCAGCTTGAATGTCTCCTCAGAAAATAGGTTTTTCTTTTCTATCACATTGTCAGGCTGCAAATTTTCCAAAGGCTTTTGCTCTGCTTCCCTTATAAAACTGAATGTCTTTAATAGCACCCAAGTCACCTCTTGAATGCTTTGCTGCTTAGAAATTTCTTCTGCCAGATGTCCTAAATCATCTCTCTCAAGTTCAAAGTTCCACAAATCTCTAGGGCAGGGGCAAAATGCTGCCAGGCTTTTTGCTAAAAATTCAACAAGAGTCACTTTTGCTCCTATTTCCAGCAAGTTCCTCATCTCCATCTGAGACTACCTTAGCTTGGACCTTATTTTCCATATCACTATCAGGCTTTTGGTCAAAGCCATTCAACAAGCCTCTACGAAGTTCAAAACTTTCCCACAATTTCCTGTCTTCTTCTGAGCCCTCCAAACTGTTCCAAATCTGCTTGTTACCCAGTTCCAAAGTCGCTTCCATATTTTCAGGTATCTTTTCAGCAACACCCACTCTTGATAACAATTTACTATATTAGTCTGTTTTGACACTGCTGATATAGACATATCCAAGACTGGGCAATTTATAAAAGAAAGAGGTTTATTGGACTTATAGTTCCACATAGCTTGGAGTACTCACAATCATGGCAGGAAGTGAAAGGCACATCTCACATGGTGGCAGCAAAAGAGAGAATGAAAGCCAGGCAAAATGGGTTTCCCCTTATCAAACCATCAGATCTTGTGAGACTCATTCACTGCCATGAAAACAGTGTAGGAAAGACATCCCCACCCCATAATTCAATCACCTCCCACAGAGTTTCTCCCATAACACGTGGGAATTATGGGAGGGGAGTTACATTCCAGATGCGATTTGGGTGGGGACACAGCCAAACCATATCAGCTGAAGGAGGGAACTTGCTAAATGGAGTGAATTCTTGACAGAGTTGCTTTGGAGAAATGAAATCGGGAGTCAACAAGGAATTGCAGCACGGCTCTGGAGGAGTGGGTTTGCGGGGCAGAATAAAGATGTAAGGGATCCAGAATCCCACCCAAAAGACCCTAGAATTGACTACTATGGTGAATGTTCTGGATGGTGAGTGAAGAGAAGCCAGGCAGGATGGGGGATCTGAAAGACTTGGAGAACAAGAGTCAAGGAATGAGAGTCACAATTAGAGCAGAGCATAGATGTGTAGTGTAAGTAACAGAGCAAAACATAAGAAAGAATTAAGGTCAGGTCAAAATATAGAAGACCACTGAGGTACTGCAGGGAGATAATGTAAGAATGATTAGAATCAAGCATGCAAGAAAGCATAATCTGGAGGCATTGGCTGTAACGTCAACAAATACACTGAATCTCCCAAGTATTTTAGGTAGTTTTGGGTGACCAGGAGGACTTTTGGCCAGATATCTAAGTCCTCACTAAAGATTACAAAAAGAGAGGAAGTCTCTAGTCACCCTTAATATCTCATGACACCTTGAAAAGAAGCAGAGAATGTTAGTTTAAGAGAATTATAATTTTTAGGAAGTCTGATGTGGCTACAGGTCCAGAAGCTTTGCTTTGGAACCTGGTTTGGAAAATGGGGGACAGGAAAGTCAGGGATTGTGTCTGCTGTTGGGTCCTTGAATTGATGAAGGGCAAAACTCTGGAAAAGAGGTTTATATCTATGTGCTTATGAATTCAAAGTCCCCTAAAAAAAATTTTTTTTATCATCTTTCATTTAAGCCTTAGAACTTCAGAAACTGCTTTACTAGTGAAGAAGGATGGCAGAGTCTGAAAGGAGGGAGGCTACTTTGTCTCTTTCTCTTAAAAATCAAATGGTACTTGGTAGGAAGTCTCTGGAGAAACAGCTGATTCACATTTTCTCTTGTGACAACATCACCTTGGCAGTGTTTCTTGGGTCACAGAGGATTTGAGCTTCTGTCATTCACACAGGTCACACTTGCCTGGAGAAAAAGGCAATTAGTATCCTTTCCCGAAGGTCTATTGGCTTACCCTGAGACTTACTTTGTTTCTGTGACCTTTTTTAGCTCTTAGTTTTACATTATTTATGGATGCTAAAGGAAAGGGTTTGGGGCTACATTATTGAATAAACTTGTTTTCGCTGATTTTTTTCTATCTAATATTTTTTCCTTCTGATCATAAGCAGAGGTCATGAAAAGAGGTGAGACCTACAAAGACTATTACTGTGATATCAGCTGAGGAGAGCAGATGCTGAGAAGCACACAGAGAAAAAGCAAAAGACTCAGAGATGGACAGAGAGAGACTGCAGAAAGCTTCCAGAAATCCTAAAAAGCAAAAATGCTATGCCAATAAACACAAAAATGTTTAAAATGTTAAAAGTTTCATCAAAAAGTAAATTAGTCATTCAAATTAATTATAAACATCAATTACCATTTAATTAATGAAAATCCTAAAGGATAAAAGGGCCAGTGGAGAAAAGAAAATTTAGAGATGATATTTACTTAGATTTTACTGTATCCAGTTCTAATTTCAGAAAGGAGCAGGCTGGTTATAAACATTCGAAAGGAAGCCTCCACCACCCCTTTCTACCTTACTAGTAAAATGATAAGAGAAAATGTGTCTAGCCCTTCTAAATAGCCCCAGAGCTAGCCATATGCAGAAGATTTTAAACTAGACCCTTTTCTGATACCATATGCAAAGATCAACTCAAGATGGATTAAATACTGAAATATAAAACCTAAAAATATAAAAAGCCTGGAAGATAACCTAGAAAATACCATTCTGGACATAGGACCTGGCAAAGATTTCATGATAAAGACACCAAAAGCAACTGCAACAAAAGCAAAAATTGACAAAGGAGACCTAGTTAAATTAAAGAGTTCTGCACAGCAAAAGAAGCTATCAATAGAGCAAACAGCTTCTACAGCATGGAAGAAAATATTTGCAACTATCCATCTGACAAAGTTTTAATATCTAGAATCTACAAAAAACCAAATAAATTTACAAGAAAAAACCAACCCCATTAAGAAGTCGGCAAAAGACACAAACAGACACTTTTCAAAAGAAGACATATGTGCAACCAACAAGCATGTGAAAAAATGCTCAACATCACTAATTATTAGAGAAATGCAAATCAGAACCACAATTAGAAAACATCTCGCACCAGTCAGAATAGTTATCATTTTTAAAAATCAAAAAATAACAGATGCCGGTGAGGTGCTGGAGAAAAGGTAACACATAATACACTGTGGGTGGGAATGTAAATTAGTTTACTTATTGTGGAAAACAATTTGGCAATTTCTCAAAGAACTTAAAACAAAATTACCATTTGACCCAGCAATCCCATTACTGGGTACATATCCAAAGGTATAAATGTCATTCTGCCGTAAAGATACACGCTTTCATATGTTCATCACAGTACTATTCACAATAGCAAAGACATGGAACCAGCCTAAGCACCTATCAATGAAAGACTGGATAAGAAATAAGGGTTAAATACGCACCATGGAATACTATGTAGCCATCAAAAGGAATGAGGTCGCCGGGTGCGGTGGCTCAAGCCTGTAATCCAAGCACTTTGGGAGGCCGAGGC